GCATATAAATAGACAACAAGGCGTCGAAAGTCGAAAAATATTGTTCGCTGGCCTTGATCAGCCAATCAAATCTTGCGAGAAAATGTTCTTAAAATTGTTTTGAGCCTAAGTGAAAGGTCAAAGAACAAATATTCGGACAGTACATAAAATAAAATTGAATCGACGTACTAAAACAAGAAACAAAACTCGCAGTCTTTGCTATTGCCTTCGCATAAAGAAGCCAAAAATCTTTTAAACAAATATCGATAAGTAGATAGCAAACTCTTCACTGTGGGAAACGAAGTATTGCAACGATTGGACGAGAAAAACTCCAAATATAAACATGAACAAAAAACCTTTATTGCAAGTTGATAGTTCAAAGGTTAGTGGAATTCACAAGTTATACGAAGATACTACAACAAAAGTTTACAAATACCTAGCAACAGCTGACGTAGAGATAAGAAATTTCAGGACAATCCAGTTTTCTCAGGTTAAAATTAGGGTTATCCGACGGATAGTTATCCACCCTGCTATCCGTGCTTCGTACAACGCATTTTTATTCGGCAGATAGCTATCCATTGGATAGGAGATTCATCCATTGGATAGGACTTATCCACTGGATAACTTATCCACCTTTCGTACAACCGGCCCCAGGCGCCTAAAATCTTTTGTCTTTAAAACAATGTCGATTTCTTGGGAAATTCCGAGGTTGCGGTTTTTTGATACACCCTGTATACCGAAATTTCCTGCTGCACAATAATATTTGAATGTGTATTAAACTATTATGCTAAAACACAATGGATAATTCAATTAACATCATCACTTAGCGAATAAATTTTTACATTGTCATTGGCGTGTTAATTAAATTAAAGCACCTTGCAATTCCATTCACAAATATAAATAATCATGTAAATATATTCTCTGAAATGTTGGTTTTCAATACTTAGCATGTGATTTATAACCTAGTGTTTTGAAAACCTAGTTTTTTACAAAACGTGTTCTCAGAATGCTGCAAATGCCATTTCGGGGATTCAAATATTTCATAAAGTGTCCTCCACTGTAGCTAATACGTTATAGTGGCTAAGTAATTTTCTGATATTATTGTTAAATGTCACGAGCTTTGTGCAGGATGTTTAGTATGTAACAAAATTCGTGTAATTTCTATGAGAGCGTAGTTAAATCACAATTATCGTTAGCGGTTTAGCGTTATCCGTAAATTTCAAACTAAAGTTCTCTAATTATGAGAAAGATACTGCAGCATGCATGGAAAGTTCCATGCAAAAAAAGACCTTTCTGTATTTAATTGCACCATTTGAATAGCTATTGAGTATTGTAACACAGAATTATTTGGCAACAGAATAATTTACAGGAACGCTGGTATCGTTCACCTTTCTGAAAGGGTGGGTCATAACTTTTCAGCACCAATTTAAGGGTGGGCTAAAAATTTTCGAGCAGCTATTAAGGGGTGGGCCACCAAAATTGTAGACACCAAATATATGATTTTCCCAGCCCCCCCCCCCGGATTTTACTTTAAGACCGGTCCTTTGGCACTACTAATTTCCTGACGAAGGACCCTTTCAAAATGCAGAACCGTAACTAGACGCAATAATTGTGGAGGCGGAGCGAGGGGGTGGAGGATGGGGGTGCATATTAATATATTCGTGTTCTGCCCTACGAATTTCTTTTGAAGGCGAATGTTTTTACTGAATGTGATCATTAATATATGAATATAGGCCCTGTCATAATTGGCTTAAAACTTCGAAGTTTTACGTGCATTTTTCAGCTAGTTGAATCCCTATCAATATGCAGCTTTCTATTGCTACGTTCACTACATACACTGGGACAGACCGTTAGCTAGAGTTTTAATGAAGTTAAAACATGTAATCACTAACCATCGTGGACCGTTGCAACGATTGGAAAGATTCTAAGTTGGTTTTTTTGGTACCAGGATTCGTCATTATCAGCAAAACGAACCTTGAAGCCTTGAGATTCGCTCACTTCAATCACGTGCCCGATGTACTGTGCGTAACTTCCTTGCCATGCCGCAATCACATGGTCCTTATACTCGACGGAGACAGGAACCGTATCGGTAAACACAGCGGTAACGTCATCTAGAGAATGTGTGATTGTATCACCATCGTCAAACAAGATGCCAATATATTTTCCAGAAATAGATGCAATTTTACCAGCGAAATATTTGTTGTTTGTCCTACGACTGATAATGCGATCACCAACTGTAGCATAAAAATAGAAACGATTCTCTAGGTTAGAGATCTAGAAGTAACTGTGATTTTATGATGTAAAGCAGACGCCTGTCCGAACCAGGTTCGAATTGTAGACTAAATGCGTAGCTGGATGGTTGATAATTTGCTAAGCTAAGTGACCGATTGTCGACGTTATACCATAATTGCATAAAACGTCATGTATGATTCGTATTCTGGTGTATGTAATCGAATAAGCACGCATAAAATGGTTCATTTCAAATTTTGCAATAAACAGCAAATACAGCGGAGTTGTGGCGACAGTAGTATAGTAATGTCCATACACCATGCCAAATACGAATCGTACACGCCAAATCGTAGCTTAATGATGTATTTTTGTCGTTGACGCACTGCAACCTTTAATTGAAATGTGCTAAAGGCCATTGTAATCAACAAGCATTACATCATAATCATATATAATGCACTTCGCACTTCTTACAAATAGTGAGTTAATTTGTGCGTTTTGTTTCTTTCAACGGATATCGGATTACGTTTGAAATAGTTCTTGTTATGTTTACGTTTTGTATTGATTTAATGACAGGTTAAGGTACTTTGTCCTCGTTTACACGGTACCGGACGAATTTGGACCCGTCTGAAATTCGTCCTTTTTCGCCTGTTTACACGTGGATTCGTCCTGTTAGGGGGTCTCAAATTCGTCCTGTTCTGTGGTTCTCGTGTGTTTACACTGCCAAAATGGACGAATTTCAGCCCGGTTCCAAATTCGTCCGGTACCGGTTTTTAATATGTAGCACATATTAGCGCTTGCAAAAGTAGCTCATTAAAAACATTATCATGGCAAGACAATGGCGTAACTTTGTCGTGCTAAAAGGCCTTTGACTTAATTGAACTGAAAAGGACCCTCTAGACCTCGTCCTGACAATTAAGGAATTGACGATTTTGATGACGGACTAGCTACAGATATCTGAATACGTTTGAAATAGTTCTTGTTGTGTTTCTGCAAATGCTAAATTATCACAAATTTTTTATGCACGGCTTTTCCAAACATGTTTACGTGTACGGCTTTGTGTTCCGTAAGTTTCATCTTCCAGGTTTCATCATTTCGTAATAAAAATATTCTTATCATGTAATGTTGCGAAGTCAGTTTCGATGCTGATGCGTTCTTGATCAGTAAACTTTGTTTGTCTCGGTTAATGCAAGGCGAAAACAAGCTTTTAACCGTAAAGTCCGTGTCCACCGCTTGTTCTACGGCCTTTTAAATTAAACTGCATAATAAAAGCGGCGACAACGACGGGTGTTAGTTGGCGGCTACCCTAAGAAGAATTAGATGTAAAATTTACTAAAATTGCCATCACGCACAGGGGCTCCCAATGGCCCTTGGCACTATACTTTAATCGGGTGGTGCCAAAGGGAATACACCATTGAAAGAAAGAAGGCCAAACTTATCGAGTTATTTGTGCCACATTATTACGCATGAAAATCAACTCAGCACAAGGATTTACTGTATACGTTCTGAAACCCAAATTCTGACAAAAAATTATTTCCTCGCAGCTCTTGAAATCCGTCCATCGTGCGTATAGTTCGGCATGATAGACGGCCGGATTAGATAAACAGCAGTATTATAACAAATTAAGTATCACTGCACCTTTTGCGGGTTCTACGCATGTATAACCAGTTGATTCATGTTCTTGTGAAATACACAATAACTTCTTAGGACATGGATAAGCATCACATTTAGTCTGGTAAATATAAATTAACATTAGTAAATTTTTGAACTCATATATTGTCATTAATATAACTATTATACAAAACAATAAAGTTTGTTTGACCTAGCTGTTTGGAGTAAGCCTTAACATGGTATTTCTGTCCTGTTGACTTTACATCTAACCTTAATTTTTCCATGTTCTATCAAGACATGGTGGTCGTTCAATAAGGATGGCTGAGGTGAAATGTGCAAGCACGATGAAGTACTATTTAAAACACGAGAAGAAGTGTTTTATCTTATTTAAAACGCGAGGCGCAGCCGATCGTTTTAGATATGATAAAACGCGAGTTCGAGTGTTTTGAATAGCTTAAAATACGACCACAAAAGAATACTAATTAGGATGAACAATTATATAATCATACTAATTAGGATCACAATTATACTGGGGTCGATTGTATAAAAAAGTGATTAAAGTTAACTATAGTTAGTGGAAACGTCATCCAATAAAAAGCGCGTATTTGAGAGTTAATCACTATTTAACTACAAAATAGTGATTAAAAAAGTGATTAAGAGTTTTATACAACGGCCCCTGGTTATTTCAGCAGCGAACGAAAAAGAGTTAACTACTTTTTAACTGCAGTTAGCGCTAACTACGTTTTTATACAACCGGCCCCAGGGTGTATAAAAAAAAACACAACCTCGGAATTTCCAAAGAAATCACTTTGCAATTCTTAAGCATAAAAGATTTTAGGGCCCAGATTTCATCTATATTTGTATATACTTAAATTTATTATCTATATGTATTTGTTCATGCATAAAGGATGTAAAGTTAAATTAATAAATTATACTATATTATTATACCTTAGGCCCAACGTATGTCCAGTCTGGTTTCGCAATGAATATTGCATTTGATATTGAATTTAGCATGACATTTGCATTAAATAATGAATGACGTGTTGTTTGCAACATTTCACACTCGTGCTCTCCGGCTTGTGATGGCCCAAGGTTTATAGCGACGCATCCTTTAGTTTTTGCACACTCAGTAATACACTTGATATGATTTGTCACTCTGCTCGTTGCTATTGGTGTTACATTAAGTTTGTGTCCAGCAAGAGGTAGACCCCAATTTATTGCTGTCAGTTTTGAATACTTCATGTACGCAATACTGCAACTTGACAGATGATAACATTGCCAAAGCACACATAAAGCCATTGTGATTCTTCTGGCAGACATTTTGTACGCCGTCATGAAACGATAGGGAGGTGAAAATTAGTTTGAAACAGAAAAAGTTGCATTAGCTGTGGCTTTAAATGCGTATGCATTGTTATTAATATTTAAACTACCTGTTGTAAGTGTTTTGATGTGGTCTTAACATTATTACCAAAAAGCGTAATAAATACAAGGCAGTCATGTTTTTCACATTTCGAAATGGAGCTTACATAAGCTAGAGCGAATTACAATTTGTTTTTCTCGTCATCTCTTGTCACGCACAAATTGTCTTATTTTGCAATGTTCTTTTTGTCAGTTCTTTTTTGTTATTCTGCATGTAAACTAAAGTTCAAATAATTTGTGTGCATTATGTGGTTTGTATTTGCATATTGCTTTATATCAGCACATTTCGTGCGGCGTGTTACTTCTATAAAGTGGTTTTTGTGTCAATCCTCATGTTGGCTGGCAATTTCTGCTGAAACATTTAGCGGAGGGGATGTTTTTGTGCTAGTTTCCGATCGCAGCCCTGGAAAAATTGGTAAAACTACGTTCTTTTAGACTGTGAAGAGTAGTGGATTTGTCCTAATTTATTTCTTCAAACTTTAAAGTAAACATAGAAAATCAACTTTCTAGATATAAATGAACTTTGACAAACATGGGAGCCACAGCAAATATAATCTGATTAATAGTTTACACAAAAAGGGAATCGCCGTTTTAAAGTAAACCAGGATTAATTGTAGCTTCCGGAAAAATTAGTAAAATCAGGGAAAACAAATTTTGTGTTTTTTTTGGGATGCATGATTTCCCTTTTAGTTCCGGATGGGGGGTTCTGCCCCCAGCTACGGGCTTCCTTTGTGTTTAATAACAGCATCTTTGCCAGAGAATGTATAAAGTCTATTTATGCTTCGTAAACGGAAGGTGCTGAATTAAGTTTGAGACGTTAAAGCTTTGTTCACAACAGCAATTTTGCCGCTGAATTGTGTCTCTGACGGCTGCAAAAGAGTGAACTCGCACACTAAAGTATAGAGTCGCGCTTTTCAGAATACGCAACTTTAAGCATTTTCCATGTCATTCGATCACATTTGCCAGCAGGAGGAAAATCGGCGACAGAAGGAATTGCTAGTGTGAACCAGGTTTAAAATGGCATGCTGTATCTTCTTGATTTTGCATTGTTATTTAGTTATTGTCTGTGATGTACCTGCTTCATTTATTAGGGAGCTTAAGCATGCCAGACGGCAACACGAGGACGACGGCCAAAACAAATTCCTTCAAATAAATGATAGTAAAGAAAACTTGTCGTATATTATAATTCGTATGAATTTAATACAGTATAAGAAGCTGAAAACATTGGCTTTATGTTTGGGAAGAGTTCTGCTGACCGAATTTTAAGTTGCACTTGTTACGGCTTCAAATGCAGGCGTTGTATAAAAGACGTGAAAATCTGTGATTTGCCGTTGTAAACAGAACGACGACCACGTCTGAAACTCCTCTGGGACTTTAATTATTTATTCACTTTTCACTGACTCATTGTATTGGTTGCCGTCGTCGTCGTGTTGCCGTCCTACATGCTTAAGCTCCCTATTCAGACGAAACAGACGAAAAATGCACGTGGAAAATATTCTCTCGGATTACGTGCTGCTTCGAAAACAGAGTTCATTCAACAGGCAGATATTTCTGTGTAACTCTATATAGCTCCCATGAATGATGAAATATATGGTTTAACAGTGCGTTGAGGTTTTATTGGCTTATGTTGTGGTTTTATAGGCAGATGTATTGTTATTGAAAGTACCTGTTGCAAGTGCATCTTTTGATAGGGTTTTAACATTATTGCCAAGCACATGCAGCTGAAATGACATTTATGCTTTTCATATTTTGTTGCTGCTTCGAAATAGAAGCTGGGGCCGTTATAAATTTGTAATTTGTTTCTCTTGCAATATTCCATTCCGTAATCCGCCAATATTCCATTCCGTAATCCGCCAAAATATGTCTGTCTCGAGTGCATGCCCTTTAAATGTAAGCTAAAAGAAATTTTTTCGCATGTCTGCATGAAGACACTAATTCATTACGTTTGTTCAAAGTAGCCAGTTCAGGTATACATATAATAAAGTATTTTTCCCACAGGCAGAGATTACATCTATTATAAAAGGTTATAACACTGCCACGACTACAAGTAAAATTATGAATTTAATAAAAAAATATATAGCTCAAATTTTCGGCAACATGCCACCGCCTTCGTCATAACGAATATGGTAAATTACCTTCCTTATATACAGGGTGTCTCAAAAAACCGCTACCCTTAGAAATTCACCATTGTTCTAATTTGAATGCCTAAACCTTGTTGAAGCCATGAATGCGTAAACATTTTCACAGGATGCATATATTAAAGATCTTCGGAATTAAAATATCCTTGAAAAGCGAAATTGTTTATCCTGGGAATTGAAAGTAGGTTCATACAAAAGTATAACTGCACGAAAATCGTTCAATTACATATTAGTGAATGTCAAGCAAATGGCTCAACTGAGCACAGAGCAAAGAGTTTTATTGTCTTAAATTATACGCGAACCCAAAGTCTACACAGGCATTCAAATTAGAACGATGGTGAATTTCCAAGGTAGCGGTTTTTTTGAGACACCCTGTACAACAATGTAAGTGATTAACTAATTAAAGCAACATAAACAAAGCCTACAGAAACCTATTGTTGGGAATAATCATGGCTGGTATTCAAACCCCCAAATTAGTAAGCAAAGTGCCTATCCAAACGTTTTCACACTTTCTTAAGTCCTCATTGTTATTATAGCAATTAACATAAACTTTAAGTTGAAATGCTCGCTCCCGTACACATCTATGAAGTGATTAACTACACCACATGTTCTACGCTTATGCTTTATATGTGACTTGTAGTTTGCCAAACAAGGCGTAAAATTAATAGTAGAACCAACCCCCTGTAAACCACAAGCGACACACTGAGCGAGGTAAACCACATTCTCAGATGTATACGTCAAGCTCTTACGGATACTAAACAACCTGCCGGTCACGGTTGAACTAAATGAATTGCCCGGCGTAAGAAAATGTTTGCAACAATCACTACTACTATCATGTACTATCTACTATTATCATGTACTTGGCTGTACATGTAATACAACCCCGACCTACATGTTCAACCCCTCGGTAAGGATTAGACGGGGCCAGCAGCTCTTTTAAATTGGTCCCCCTACTAGAGGCCACTAGGATAGAACTTTTGGGCAAAATCTCACAGGCCTGCTCATCAGCATCAATGATATCATGATGTTTGCGAATGATACTGGCTATGTCACACAATCGAGGGTTGTACTTGGTGACAAGAACACAATGCTTTCCTTTATAATTAGGTTTGCTTTTACGTGCTTCAGCTCGAGTCATCATACCCACTTCCTCAAATACTCTATTAACATGAACACTATTATGGCCACAATTAATAAGATATTGGGCGTATATTTTGCTTTTTACATGAAAATCACTATCCTCAGAACATATGCGCCTTAACCTCAACGCTACACCTTTGGCTATACCACGTATTTGAGATCTAGGATTCGATGACTTGGCATTTAAATACACATGGGCATCGGTGGGCTTACTATAAATATATGTTACCAATTGGTTGTTGACTATAGTAATAAGCAAATCAAGAAAATGCAAGCTCCGCCCACCCATATCCATGGTAAATTGCAGATGTGAATCAAATGTGTTAAGAGCCTGGAAAATGCATTAAGGCGTTCAACCGAACCACGCCAAAGTACAATAGTATCGTCACGGAAGCGAAACCAGCACCTAAGTTCCGGATAAATAGTCCGTGATGTTAAAACTTTTTGATCTATGTTTTCAGCAACAATGTCAGCATATGAGCAAGAGTTTTGGGGGCCCATAGCCGTATCATTTTCCTGCAACCAATACTGCCCACGAAAAGTGAAACAATTTCTCTTAAGACAAATTTCCAAGGCTTCCACAACACATTCAACCAGCACGTCAAGTTTATCAGCATATTGGATAAGTTTGTGTCTAACCCTTTCAACACCAGACTGGTTGTCTATAGACGGAAACATGTTAGTAATCTATTATGTCGAAACTAACCGACAAGTCACCATCTTCTAGCTACCCCCTCCAAATTAAGCTCATCAATGATATTAATTAGCATATGCCTAGTATCCTGCACACGACGCGGAATTGTCTCCACTACAGTTTTACAATACTTTTCCACAAACTGTAGTGGAGAGAATTCCGTGTCGTCTGCATGACACTAGGCATATGCTCAATATCATTGATGATGGTGACTTGTTGGTGAGTTTCGACATTACTAATATGTTTCCGTCTATAGATAACCAGTCGGGTGTTGAAAGGATTAGATACAAACTTACCCAATATGCTGATAAACTTGACGTGCCGGAGAAATTGTTCCACTTTTCGTGGGCAGTATTGGTTGTAGGAAAATGGTACGGCTATGGGCCCCCGAAACTCTTGCTCATTTGCTGACATTGTTGCTGAAAACCTAGATAAAAAAGTTTTAGCATCACGGACTATTTATCCGGAACTTAGGTGCTGGTTTCGCTTTCGTGACGATACTATTGTACTTTGGCGCGGTTCCGTTGAACGCCTTAATCATTTTCCAGGCTCTTAACACATTTGATTCACATCTGCAATTTACCATGGATATGGGTGGGCGGAGCTTCCATTTTCTGGATTTGCTTATTACTATACTCAACATCCGATTGGTAATATCTATTTATAGTAAGCCCACCGATGCCCATGTGTATTTAAATGCCAAGTCATCGCATCCTAGATCTCAAATACGTGGTATAGCCAAAGGTCTGGCTTTGAGGTTAAGGCGCATATGTTCTGAGGATAGTGATTTTCATGTAAAAAGCAAAATATACGCCCAAGATCTTATTAATTGTGGCCATAATAGTGTTCATGTTAACAGAGTATTTGAGGAAGTGGGTATATATATATATATATATATATATATATATATATATATATATATATATATATATATATATATATATATATATATATATATATATATAAGGATATATGGGCTTGCAGTTTGAGCGCTCTGGCATGGTTTTGATGTCCCACAATCGTGAGGCATCAAAGGTAACTGTAAATAGCAGTTACTTTCATCCTGCTCATCAGCATTACACTGATGAGGCCCATAAGGCCGAAACGGTACCGTCTGTAGTTAGATTACGCTCTATGGCCTTTAGGTGATATTGAGCGCTCTACAGGATGAGCCATGCCGCTTACGCATTGAGCACGCTCACTGCATGCAGTTTGAGCGCTCTGGCATGGTTTTGATGTCCGACAATCGTGAGGCATCAAAGGTAACTGTAAATAGCAGTTACTTTCATCCTGCTCATCAGCACTACACAGATGAGGCCCATAAGGCCAAAACGGCACCGTCTGTAGTTATATATATATATATATATATATATATATATATATATATATATATATATATATATATATATATATATATATATATATATATATATATATACATTTTCTACAGAATGAGCTATTGGAGCTTACGCATTGCGCACGGTCACTGCTTCCAGTTTGAGCACTCTGGCATGGTTTTGATGTCCCACATTCGTGAGGCGTCAAAGGTAACTGTAAATAGTTACTTTCATCCTGCTCGTCAGCACTACACAGCTGTTGAGGCCCATAAGGCCGTAATAATGTAAATATTTATTTAAATCAAAGACTTTCCGAAATATCACTTACTCGAACCGTCCTGACCGCGTAGCTCAGTTGGAAGAGCATTGGGCTAGTATTCCAAAGGTCATAGGTTCGAATCCCACAGTGGCCGGGCATATTTTTCAAGCTCGCCCGGTGTGGATATGCACTCAGAGTAACATCACAAACATGTTATTCACCTGAGTACACAACACCAGCACAGAAAAAATTCATATTACAAGAACACATTGGTATTGAAGGAACTAGATACTGTTCCGAAATATCACTTACTCGAACCGTCCTGACCGCGTAGCTCAGTTGGAAGAGCATTGGGTTAGTATTCCAAAGGTCGTAGGTTCGAATGCCACCGTGGCCGGGCATATTTTTCAAGCTCGCCCGGTGTGGATATGCACTCAGAGTAACATTACAAACATATTATTCACCTGAGTACACAACACCAGCACAGAAAAAAAACAACTAATAACGTTATTACTAATACACAATAAATAAAATCCGTTGCCTGCCGAAAACTATGTGAAATAAAGTAGAAACCAAACTTACTACCGGGTGTCCCAAAAAAAAGTACTCCGGTTTGATTTATAATAACTTCTAAACAAGTAAAGCTATCAAACAGAAATAACTTGCATTAAATAGAGGAAGGACTAACTTAGATTTTGATATATTACAGTTGTATTTTGCTTAAAAATTCACGGAGATATTAATGGTCAAAATCGGGAGCATATTTTGGTATGTGTCTAAAATTAGCGAAAATCGGTATATCAAATATTAACTCCAGCGTTTGTTTGCTTAATGACATGTCAGGCTAACTGGTATTTCAGCGAATTGTCGTTAGGGTTTGTAAGGGATATAGCGTAGATTTAGACATCTTACATGTAAGTCTTAGCTCGTTGTTTCCTGAAATATGAACGTTCAAAATTATGAAAGTATTTAATAGGTCTTTGGCTTTGCAAACTTAAAGGTACATGAAAGACCTTGAAGGCAGGCGCTTAAATTTTTCTTAAACAGCCTAACTTTTTTATGTTTCACATGGGTTCAAAACAAAGTTGATTAT